GTGCTCTGTGCAGACACAAGTGATACAAGGGTCAAAAACACATCCTCCTCCCCACAGACTGTAGCAAATGTTAGTGCCTGGCTGCTGCATTTTCTAAAACATTGTGCCTGCGCCATTACCTCCAGCAGGGAGACAGGCTTTAACCATCTGTAACAGCGACAGGCATGAACACAGATGTAGAGTGGGCCATGCAGGTGCTGGGTGATTCCTTTCCTCCGTAGTCTAGACAGGATTTGATGGACCTTTGTAGCTCCCCTCAGACACAGGGAAGAGGTTCTGTTGACTTTAGAGGTTGCTCTACTTAGATTCTTTCTGCACTCAGAGTTTGGGTATAGTACATAAGTCAACCAATTACGATATCTATCTCACTTTAGATTTTACTAAGCTGAAAATGGTCTTAATCTTTATCTCAGTTACACACCTCTACCAGGTTCCAACCGCAAGACCAAAACATCTTCTCTTCCATCAATTATGGGCTCAGAGTTTGGGGCGGTAAAAAGCCTTTCCCAGATTGCAACCATATAAATACGACAGACTTGAAATCAATGCCATCCCTACATAAAAAGTTAAGTTGATTATTGAAGTTACCTCAGTGTCACCCCAATAAACTCAGTTTTTAAAAGTCATCAAATGGTTGTTTTTAGGTGAAAACAAAAGGTGACAAACATGCTACTTATGGTGTAAGAGCAGAGATAAAATGGGACTATTTGTATTTGCATAAAGAAACTAGAATAGTATGAAAGAAAATACAAGTGGTCGCCTGTGGACGGTGGGTGTAGGGGACAGGTGGACAAAGACGGGGGTGGAAGTGAGACTTAACGTAGTGTACCTTAATGTATTTCTCCTGCTTTAGGAATGAGGTGGAATGCATTTCCCATTTGTAAATGTTTCCAATAAAATAAAACCACCCGATGTGATTCCTGGAGCGGGAGGGACACTATGTGCCCAGCTCTGATGCCCGCCCTTTCACCCTCGGGCTCTCTGCAGGCAGAACCTCGGCTGCTGTGAATGGGCTTCTTCTTCAACCTGCCTCTCCTCAGGGGCATTTTTATAGACTCGGCTTCCTCTGCCCTGAAGCCTGCTGCTCTCTGTTCACTGGTCTCAGGATCTGACTTTCCCTTGGGGCTCCCCCTGAACCATCACTGGGGCCCACAGCCCTCTGGTTCTCTCCTGGGTGGGATTTCAAAGAAGGGCCCGAACACAACATGGCCAGGCATCCACCTGAAGTTTATTCCACCGGACACACAGCCAGCTCTCCCTTCCAGCTGGCCTCCATTCCCAGCAGCTTTAAGGACATGTGGCGAGCCAGCACGGCCATGGCATACTCAGCGCCAGGGCGCCGTATGTGCCGCTCCAGCTCAGCCTGGTTCAGTGAGCCTGAGTGGGGGCGGTGAAGGATGGAGAAAAGACAGACAAGAGAATGAAAGCTGGGTCTCAGGGGGACGCTGCTCCTGGATGGAGAGACAGCGCCACGGACTACAAGCCGTGTCTTTATTTTATAGCAGATTCCACAAGGCAAAGGAAGGGCGTGGTCAAGATGTTTACAACATTCTCGTGGGTTTCGATCCTACTCAACTACATGCACCTGAACTCTATCAAGCCCACATCACTCAGGCACGTGGGGCCACGTGTTGGGACCATAGGTTCAAGCTCACAACTACAGCTGTTGGCCATAATTGTGCTGGGCGGGCTCTGCCCTCCAAGCTGGGTCTTGCACGTGGCCATGAGAGGACTGTGCCCTCTCATTAGTCCAAGGCTTGAACCTGTCCAAACACTGTAGCCGCTCCCCACAAGGACATCTTTTTAAAAGTCTGTGTCCACAGTTTGGTCAAAAGTCCATTTTACGTTTGTGCCACAAAAGGATTTTAAATTGAAAATTGGAGGTATGGATTTGACTGACATCTCTCAGGAGTATTTTAGTGAAAAAAGACCACATACTGACATAACCCATTTTCCCAGGTGCAGAATTGTTAGAAACCAACACTGCTTCTCACATCGAGAAGAAAAGCAGTTAGAATAGAGTACTGGTGTCTTCTTTCCCAGGGAGGAGCCACTGCCTCTTGGGAGAGTGTCTCCCTCTTCAGCACCTAGGCCATCAGACCCCATAGAACCCTCCCCCTAGAGCAGTGGTTCTCAACCTTCTGGCCCTTTAAATACAGTTCCTCATGTTGTGACCCCCAACCATAAAATTATTTTCGTTGCTACTTCATAACTGTAATTTTGCTACTGTTATGAATCATAATATAAATATCTGATATGCAGGATGGTCTTAGGCGACCCCTGTGAAAGGGTCATTCGACCCCCAGAGGGGTCGCGACCCACGGGTTGAGAACCGCTGCCCTAGAGGTAAGAGGACAGGTGGCCTAGGGACAGCTGGCATTGCAGGTGGTTAGCCCTGCTGATCAGAACTGGCCCTCGCTGCAAGGGGCCTGTAAGGAGGTTCAGAACAGCCCACCAAGTGGTCCCCTCAGTTGCACAAATGAATTCCGTTTTCTGTTCCCAAATGAAGAGTATAATTTCGTGGGACCATTGTGTCAAGTTGGATGGTATCCAAACAAGTTTCCACATGAGGATGATGTCTCCAGAGCCTTGGTGTTCACAGACACAGACAAAAGATCGCTTACGCGCCACTTGACTGAGGGACCAACCTCCTCTAAATGGGGCTGTTCTCACTGGCCAGTTCCCAGCTCCAGGGGGAGGTGTTAGGGACTTTGTGACAAAGGAGAGAGACCAGCACCTTGTCTGCAGATGGGGGTGTGAAAGGCCACAGCTGGAGCCCCTCACACACAGCGGGCCTCTCTTCAAAGTCCAGTAGAAATCGAACTCCAGGAGCGAGAGCAGTAGGCCCCCGGCCTGAGGAGGGCTGGGTGAATGCAGCCCCTGCCCAGCCCTCCAGGGCCGTCCTCTGCTGGCCTCTGGACCCTTGTCCTGTACGAAGCAAGTCACCCCTGGACTTTATCTGCAGCCACCTCAATGGAAACCCCTTTGCTGCTTCCAGCTGAACTCCAGGCCCAGAGGGCAAGGGGGCGGAACCAGAGATCCAATGACTTTGTTTTTAAATCATCTCATTACTAAAAGATCCCCCTTTACCTACAGAACTTAAAGCATTAAGCCATCCCAAATCGCTTTACTTTTTTAAAAAAGGAAAAATCCAAGGCTATTCTCTCCGGGAAGCCCACTCCAGGGGATTCAGTCATTTCCACTCCTCTCTGGGGGTACCTTGGTTCAGAGCAAACCTAAGGAGCAGAGGGTGAAGAGCCAAGCCAGGCCTCTGGAGGCCAAGCCCAGGTTCAGGTCCCCAGCTCCGGGGCGGGAGTCCTGCAGGAGTATGGAGCAGCAGTTTAGCTTCCTGCCACCCCTGGCACCGATTGCTGGGACTGCAAGGATTTTCCCTACCTGTTTCTGTCCTGGCATAGTTTTCCCTTGCACCTTGGCTCATCTGAGGGTCCCAGGAGACAGGAGAGTGGTAGAGTTCCAGAGGTACCAGCTCTGTTTCTCAGCCTGGCCCCGCCTCCAGGTTTCCTGAACTGCCCCCAACAGCCCCAGGCCATTGCCAGAATCCTCACGGCCCTGCAGGCCCAGATGCTTCCCCAGCCTTGGGAACGCTGGTGCTCTTGTGGGCAGGAACAGAGCCACCTGGCCACCTCAGTGCTGCCACGTGCCAGGCCAGGGACAAGAGAACCTCTCTGCCCCAGCAGCCGGAGGCCTAGGGTCTCCAACGGATCAGGATCTCCAGACAGGCACCCCACCCCGTGATAGAGGGGTGGAGCCTTTCCCCATTCATTTCCCCCCCCCCCCCCCCAGCTATTTTTAGATCTATCGTAGGGGGAAGGAGGGATTGCTGGGTCTAATCCCTTAGGAAAACCCAGGACCCATGTGAATGGCTCCCAGGCCTTGATGAGAGGCCATCACCTGGAGCCCCAGGAGGCTGGATGTGCTGCTGCGCGCGCACATACACACACACACACACACACACACACACACACACACACACACAAACACACACATACGCAGCTCACTGGCCCTAATCTAAAGGGATCTTCCTGGTTTCTAGCTGTCCCACACTATTCCCTTGGGTGAGTCCCAGGCCTGGTCAGATGTCAACTACCCTATCACCACCACCCCTAAGCCTGCTGGCTAGTCCTGTGCATCTAGCTGTGAAGCCCAGGACCAAAGAACTCTTTCTCTCCGGACATCAGTCCTGACCCCTTTCCATAGCCAGCCCTTGCTTTGCTGAGACTCAGATTTCGGGGAATTTTTGTAAGGCCTTTCTCCCACCCCAGTGTCAATCTGCCAGGCTCTGTATCTTGGGGCAGCCAAAGCAAAAGCCTGTGGGAACATGTATTGGTGAGGATGTGGAGAAATTGGAAGCCCATGCATTGCTGGAGGGAGTAAAAAATGATACAGCTGCTGTAAAAAAAAAAAAAAAGGGAATGGCAATTCCTCAAAAACTTACACATAGAATTAAAATATGGTCCAGCAGTTCCATTTATGGGTGTATACTCAAAAGAACTGAAAGCAGAAACTCAAATTTTGCACATACAAGTTCCTAACAACATTATTCACAATAGCCAAAAGGTGAAAGCAACCTAAGTGCCCGACATATGAATGGATTAAAAATGTGGCCCATGCATACATACAATGGAATAGAATTTCCTTTAAAACAGAATGGAATTCTGATAGATGTTACAACATGAACCTTGAAAATATTATGCTAAGAGACATAAGCCAGACACAAAAGGACAAATATTTACATGATTTCACCTGTACATCATAACTAGAATAGTCACATTCATAGAGATATCCCAGAAAATACAATAGCGGTTACCAAGGCTGAGAGGGGGTGGGGGGAGATAGGGAAGGAGGAGTTATTGTTTCATCAGTACAGAATTTCACTTTGGGAAGATGAAAAAGTTCTGGAGATGGATGGTGGTGATGGTTGCACAACAATGTGAATATACTTAGTGCCACTGAATTGTACACTTTAAAATGGTTAAAATGGCAAATGTTATGGTATGTATATTTTTTCACAAGTTTTAAAATGCTAAAAATTTCATTGGGGCAGGGACTAGGACCTAGGCATGCTTATCTCTCCAAGGGTTCCTGCTACCCACTGCAGGGGAGGGAAGAGCCTAGGATTTGGAGTCAAAGATTCATTTACATTCCACATTCCCAAGCTGTGTGCCCCTGGGAAAGTCACTTAACCTCTCTGTAAAGTGGGAAAAATAAACTCTCCCGAGGAGGGTCATCATGAGACACAACTTAGCTAAAGCATCTCTAGGCTCAGCCTGGGGCCTGGCAGTCGGTGCGTGTCCTCTGAGTGCAGCCCAGTGTGAAATCTGGGGCTGAGAGCATTTGCTTCGCAGCTCTGTCCCCAGTGTGTCCCTGGTGTGTGTAGAAAAAAGCTCTGAGGGTAGCTGTTTGTGACTGCCACTTCCACCAGCCTCCATTTCCCCCTGTGCAAATGGGCCACCCTCTTTTGCAGGGCTGTTGTGAGAAAGTGCACTTGACATGCACCCTGGTCTACTTTGCCCGTAAGGCTAAACGCTAAGGACTGCATCCTCGGCTGACCAAGACCTGCCATGCATGTAACCCAGACCTCCTTCCCTTAGCTGGGCAGAGTTCAACATTCAATACAGCCAAGAGTTCTTGAGTGCCCACCGTGTGCCAGGCTCTGTCCCAGGTCCAGAGGGTACCGAGAGTGGGTAGAGGACTAGATCACTGAGCCCCTGGGGGAAGTGGAGGTCAGGGGGCAGCAAGGCCCCGGGGGAAGTAAGGCCCCCGGAGAAGCGTGTATCTAGTTCCACGATGTAGCAGCAACGAACTTGGCTCTATTTGTTACCTGTGCCCGACTCCCCAGCCACCAACCCCTCCGGGCCTCGAATCAGGTCCCTGTAAGTCCGGGGACAGTGCTTGCGGTAGAGGTTTTCCACCAGCGTGTTGCTGCCTCTCACCACACCCTTCCCTTCCTGGTTCATGTAGTTCCACAGGTGCAGGGCGTAGGAGTCATTGAAGCTCGGCTCTGGGCTCCACACTTCATAGTAACGCCTCCACTCAGGGTAGGAGATGGGGTAAAACCTTTGGGGGTGTAGAAAGGACACGTTCAAACACCGGAGGTCGCTCAACTCCTGGAAGTCCTCCAGCTTGCACCACACTCTCAGCACCCTCGTCATCAGGTCGGGACCCTGGTTGCCCCAGATGTATGAGTTGTAGTGCTCAACGAAGTTCTCCATGCACTGCCACAGGAAGGCGTGGCGGGGCAGGAACCCAAACACCCCGTTACTGGAGTACCGGGAAGCCTGCGCGGCCAGAAAGTTCTCGGCAGGGATGGGCCTGATGGAGATGATATCCGTGTCCATGTAGACGCCCCCGTACTTCCAGATGATGGCCAGGCGGGACGCATCTGAGCTGACGTGGAGCCAGTTTCTCTCTGCACTGGCGTTGATCTGCAGGAGCAGGTGCAAATCAGCCCCAGCGTGGGGGAGGGGGAGGGGGGGTTACAGCAGGAGGCCAGGCAAAATTGAGCTTTTGGCAAATAGATTTTTGGGAAGCTGGCCTGCTGCCCCTCCCCAGCTGCCCTGGCACATTGGGTCATCCCTAATAGCTGGCCCCAGCTATCCTGAGGTGGTCTACCTGGGCCAGGACAAGCCACC